GGCTTACAAAACAAACAGATATTAGTCCTTAGTTCAGTTGCGTTTGTAGGTGTTCTAGTAAAGTATCTGTTGGGGAACGAAAACGGGAGCGTTTTGTCGGTCTTGTGAGGCAAAGGGGATTCAGTATGGTCCAGTTGTGGGGGTTGTTTGTCCATTTTGTCTGTAAGTGTATTAGTCTTTCCAAAATTTTTGTCATGTTTGTGCGTTCGTATAGTAGTTGGTTGGAAGGGTTGTGCAGTTGGTTTTGGGGGTGTCATTCGTCTTAGTGCAATTTGTTCTGTTGTTTGTACATATCGTTTGGTCCTTTCTGTTCCGTTGGCCATGATTATATGTCCGTAGTCCAAGAGGGGTCTGCAGATCGCTTTGTATATTTTCGTCGCGGTATTTGAACTAATTCCTTTGTCTTTGTATGTTAGTGATCGAAAGTGTTTTGTTCTTTTTATCGTTTCTGTTCTGATGTTTCGTGTGTGTTTAGTGAATTTGAGTTTGTGGTCGATTGTGATCCCAAGGTACCTTACGTCGTTTTTCGGATGTGTTGTTTGGCCGTCTGCAGTTATTGTAGGGGAGTCAGCGTTGAGTCTGTGGTTCGTGAGCAGAAGTTGGTTTTCTGTCGCGTTTGGCGTTAGTCTCCATTTATAAAACCATGTCATAGTGTGGTTTGTTAGTGTTTGGAGTCTTTCAGTCGCTTTTCCAGTAGTTTTGTCGTGTACAATAAGTTCCGTGTCGTCAGCGCATTGTAATATTTATGCCGTTCTGTCGATTTGATTTTTGTCTGGTAAGTTGTAATTGTATATGTCATGGCAGCATACTGTAGAGAAAGGGTGAGAGCGGGGATCCCTGAGAGAGCCCTTGTTCAGGGGGAAAAGAAAAGGAGAGTGTGTTGTCAATTCGTACTTGTAGTTGTCTGTTTTCTAATAAGCTCTTTATGGTGTATGGAGTAGGTATAGTTTGTATAGCAAGCCCCTATGCAAGACACTATCAAAAGCCTTGTGTCCATGAGTAGACATGCCAACTTTCCGTCAGTTAGGTGAGTTGTTTGTATGTTGTTGGTCAAAATAAATAGCGGATGAATAGTGGAGTGATATTGTTTGAAGCCAAATTGGTAGGTTGGTATATGTTTTCCGATCAGTTCTGCGAGTCTCTGGTTTAGTATGTGTTCCAAAACTTTGCACAGCACCGGGAGTAATGTAATAGGTCTGTAGTTTTCCATTTGTGTACCGTCTCGTGCATTTTTAGGAATTATTACACCACTTTTCCATGTTTTCGGAAATATATATTTGAAAAATGTATTTAGTTACTTCATTTCGATTTTAAGACATTTCAATTATTTCAGCAAATTTTTTGCATTTTCAGTTTTTGTATCAAAGGGTCTTCGGATTTTGGCTCATCTGCCATAGTGTTGTTCCAGTGGACAAATTTACCTTTTGGATGTTTTGGTAGTTTCATATTCAGTTTAGGTTAGGCCTCTATCGCATTGAACATAAAACAATTTGTAGTTATTAGTAAAAAGTAAAGTCAGTAGCAAGACTACTAATCTAGGTTGGCTTTAGAAATAGAAGCATAGGAAATCGCCCCACACTTGCAAAAATCGAACTTTTGTCTTTGAAAAACTTATAATGCCACTTGCAACTTCGCATTTACAAATCGTTGGAATGCGTTAATTCCTTCCGTGTGGACTTCGAACCACGCCTCCTGCTTCATCCGGTCGATATAAGCTTTGATGTTGGGAAACTCATTCTCCCAATTTTTCACGAAAACTCCCCAACATGTTACTGAAGAAGTAATGCTGAAATCCGCTATAGACAGTTCGTTTCCGACTATGTACTTTGAGTTTTCCTGTCTTATTTGTCTGTCTAAAGTAGCGAAACCTTCTTTGAGATCGTCGAAGCTTGGCTGAACCGGTTGGATACCATCTAATCCCAAAGGTCTCTAAAGCAAAATTAGGGAGTATGTAAAATTAAATGCTACTTTATTCCATATGTTTCGAAATGTTTTTGGGACCACATGAAATATATCTACGGCTATAAACTAATTTTGCCATTTTCGAACTACTTACTGTAATTACAAAACCTCTAGCAGCAATTATACCACAATCGAGATACATTCGATGGTCGATTAAGGCTCTTCGTTTTATGTCATCTTTAGGATACAAAGGGTCGTTTTTAGATCCATATGTCCCCACTAAGTATCCATTGATAGCGTGACTGTCTGCCAGAAGAAAGCCGTCGTCGTCTAATAAAGGGACGGTATGTTGAGGATTTTTCTAAAAAGTTGCATTCCAGCTTGAAATAACAGTAATAAATCTAAAAAGGGTTTTAGATTTAAGCATCTTTAAAATTAGCTTGGTATATTTTAGCTGCAGTTTTTGTTTATAACAATTTTGCCTGGTATCCGACGTTCTGTCTGAAATATTCTGTATTTTATATGCCTTCAAAATATTGAAAAGCGATCTAAAAACTAAGAGAAATTTTTTAAATAATTTTATTAATTAGTTAAATATGAGCCAATACAATTTGGTTTCCAACTGTCTACTATAGTACCAGCATGACATACCATAATAATAGAATACATATAAAAAAGAAAATTTTTCCTTAATTTGACGAATTTATGAATTTGGTGTCTAGTGATAATTGATTATTGAATATTGCAAAAATATCATCAAAAATTCCCGATCATTAAGGTGTTCCGGAAAAATATATAAAAATAAAATATATATATAACTAAATTGCAAATGCGCAATTGAGGTTGTTTGAATACGTGAAGATAATAAGATTTTAAATAAACTTTATTCAACATTTTGTTGCCGAAATCCTCCGATGTTTTTATTTGTTTTTGTTACGTTCTTTAAAACCTTTGTGTGGGTTGACTTTATACTTACATACAGTAAAAATTAATTTCTTACTATTTGACTTATTAATTAGAATCATTACAGAGCAAATAGTTACGAATACGCGATATACATCAATCCATTTAACGTTTGATTGTATTGTTAATACTTTATTAACCCAATCATTACACAAAGTGAACTTAATTAGTTTTAATTGAAAGTTTACTAGTTGGCAAAAGGATTTTCAACTTTAATCACTCATAGTAACAATTAATTTAAACTTTATTAGGAATATCATAAATTTCGCCAACATAAATATGTTACCATGCAAATATAGGCCAAAAACGTTCGGAGCTTATTTTTGCACATTGTTAACAAGGTTTTAACAAAATATTAAGTATAAATAAAATTTGGTAGAACACTACTTTTTTGTAAACGGCATTTTTTACTTTACCAAAGCGATAAATATGATGAGAAAACACTGTTATATTTCTATTAAACATACTTTTCGTGACTTAACATGATGTGCTTGATTCCTGACTAAAAATACACATCAATAAACTTAACTTTTTTGAGTTATTTACTGATACTTTTATGTTCTTGAACTTTCTACTGCCGAGAGATTTTAGAATGCCGAAAAACGAAAATCTGTAGGCATGGAGCAAATAATGTATTTATTAGAAGCAGTTGGCTAGAAGTGAAATTTTTAAATGGGTTTAAATAGCTAGAAACGCATTAGAAACGGATTGTCTTTCTTGAAAAGTTCAAAATTCTGTGAAAACTGTCATTTTATGTTGATTAACATTATTAAATTTAATACAGAATTTTACCAATTTTATTTTTACAGTTTTTGATCGGCAGAATTTATGTAAAATATATGAAGCACCTTTGTACGTGATAAATAGTAAAACTCTGTATCCATAGTGTAACATAAAGAGTGGAATATAAACAAAACAATGGATTCGTTGGCAAAAAAACGAAGTTTTTTCTAGAACGTTTTTGCTATTCGAACTTTCTTTTTAGTTCAGAAGCTGCAGGGTGTTAAAAATGCATCAGTTTAGTGTAATATTTTTCGAACGCTCAAAGAAATTTAAACGAAATTTCAGCCTGCCATCAATCAGAATTAAGACATTTTCAGACGAAGATTCTGGAACTTTATAGGCCGGGTCATGTGGTAATTTATTTTAGCAACTACTATCAATAAACTATTTATTAATTACCTGAACAAAGTCCTCCTTAAGATGAGCTTTACTTAAAATGTTCACAATTTCAATATTTATTTTAATTTTGAGAACGTTGGCACACATTAGCACAGCCCCAAATGGTGGACTTCCATAAATTCCGTATACTTTCGGTGTCATTTTACTATAAAATTCAGCTTAATAACTGTGGACTTAATCGAATCTATTCAGAATATAATTTAAGTGTCAGTAATTTTCTTAGAGTGACTGTTACTGATAGTATTTAGACACAGAATACTAGATTTATATTAGTACTTATAAATAGTTCACGATTAAATTCTTATCTCAAGATAGATAAATACAATGACATTTTGTATTTGTTTATTTTTGATTTTTTAGTGTTATCGAACTAAAATTAGTTACTAGGCGAAGGTGATAGACTTGCGGCTGCAATTTTTATAAAATGTACCTTCAAATAAAACAAAATACAAACACATTATTATCGTTCGCTTCTATTATGCTTGCACATACATTTGAATTTAGATATTCTGAGTGCCCCACGAAGATGAGCTGCTATTCGTAACTCTACAAAGACAGTTACAATGATAGCTTATTTTAAATGAAACGCCCTCTGTCACTACTGAATATTAAATGTAACTTCTTCTGAGGATTCTGGACACTTTTTATGTAAGATGTTTTATTATTATCTCTAGCGGTTTGGAAATGCATTATATTATAATAAATGATCGTAGTAGTCCTGATTTTTCTTACCGATTTTTAAAAGAACTTTAATTATTATTATATTATAATAATTACATAATTTATATCGTAAATATTTATTATCCGTAAAGCATAAGATTAACATACTAATTACTGGAAAAAATTCTAATACTAACTAATAAAGGGGTTTTTTGATGTAAAACGAAATCTGTTCACGATTAATTTGCGCTATATGCTATTCTGTTCGTTGTTTACAAGGTAAGTAAACTGTAAACCCACAAATGGAGAATAATTTAACATAGAAGATAATGAGTATATTTCGATTGATAGATATTCTCTGTGTCGACTACACACGTGTGTACCCGTGCATTGTCCTGATGAAACAGCATTTTTTTTTCATCCTCAAATATGTCCAAAATATCTGAAAAATATGTACTAGTGATGGTTTTATCTTTTTCAAGGTAATCGTGAATGACATTGCGTGCATCCTAAAAAATTGTAGCCATCGCCTTGTTGGCAGACGGACCCATTTTGGCCTTCTTTGGTGCACGTTCACCTGAAGAAAGCCATTGTTGTGATTGTTCTTCTTTGGTCTCTGGTGTGTTGTGATGGATCCACGTTTCTTGAACGTTTACGAAATGTCGCAAAAACTCGTTCACATTGCGACGGAACATCGCTAAACATTCATTTGAAATGGTCACACGGGGGCGCTTATGGTCGAGTGTCAGCAAACTAATGGCCATTTTTCTGCGCTCGCCGATATTGCCATACGCAAAGCACGATCTTTTTAAATTTTGCAAACGCCGTCGTCGTGTAAAAAACGACACTTTTCGCCCTTGTATCGAAAATTACTATCAAAGTATTCTCATTAAAAAGTAATCGAGATTACTAACTCTAACTCTAACTTCTGATGGATTACAGGACACTAAGTTTGTGTTCACTCATTGTTTCACTTGTATGTTCTTACAAAAGTAGGCTTTTGAAAAATTGCAACGTCAAAATGTGACTTTTGAAAAATCGCATTGATATCAAATTTAAGAAATGAAATCGATGCCTCTTATTTTTGGCTACTCTTGTTTCCTATAGCTTAATACTTTTCGGCCTTGTATCGAAAACTATTATTTACGGCTATTTTTCTTTGGCCCTTTTTTACTTTTTTTAGCTGCTTTATCTTGTGTTGCCGTTGAATTTATGTCTGTTTGTCCTTTTTCTGTTTGAAATTTTTTATTGACGACAGATAACTTTTAATTAAATTTTAAGACCTACCACTTACCACTGTTACCTTTTAGAGCCCCGATGATGGTTTAAACAAATCCAAAAGGTTATAACAGTCTCTTTTTCTGTCACTATTTATTGACCGATCAACCTGAAAAACCCAAATCAACCTTTATCACTAATTATCATCACGGTCCCCAAGAAAATTCAACCGTAAATAAAAGTCGGGTTTTTAAAATCTAGCTTTGTTCTTTATTTTTTCAAGATCTCTTTTACACATCATGTGCTACAACGTTTGTGAAATAGTTTATCAAAAAAAAACATGATTAAGTAATATATTAAATCAGTCTACGTACCAAAAGCGGTACTGAAAATAATGTAAAAATATTCGACAAAAATAACACGTAACATGTTGATGATATTACCACTACGCTGCAAAATCATTTTAATAATGAATAACCTAACTTAATGATATAGTTAGCGATACAAAGGGCCTTTATGTATAATTACAGTACATATAATATTAAGATATGTAGAAGTAAACAAGGCGATACTAGGATTGATTCTCGTACAATGTTAAATGAAAATGTTAAAAGGCAAGAGAATCGGAGACAACTTTAATATGTGCTTGACTTGGGGACTTAACATTTATTTTCTTAATCATGCACGTGCAATATACAATTTACATACAAAAACTTATTGAACGTAACCATTGAACATTCTAAAATAACATACCACTCAAAAAGATAGTAAAGTTTCTCCGAAAATTATAAACACGTCAAACATTTGAGGAAATAAAAATATTTTATTTCTTCCTAAAATGGTACAAAAACTGCAAATGTATTATAATATACAAATTGATTGCTTGACTACTATATTTATCTGTCTGCGGTATTTTAAATTAAGTGTGCGTTTCTGACAATTTTTTTCAGTCATACTACAATCAACAACCAAATGTATCTTAGTTTATACAATTTTGGCTTCAGCTCATTAACATAGCCCAACTTCATTAGTTAAAACTACGCGCCTTTTTTAATATAAAACTTTGAAGATGTTTCACTATATCGAAACTGCCCATGTTAAACACATTTTCTTATTTTCTAAGATGAAGTTAAATGATTTACGAATGATATTGAACATTATTGAGATCATGGAGATGACGATGAGATCAAGAATAAGCACTTGAAGCCACTATAAGTACTCGTCCTATGAACGTATGAAAATAAAAAAACTAAATTAATAATAAAAGTGAGATTCATTTGAAGCTATAGGGATTATTTTGAACTGCTAACCGGAATTTGACAGATAAATATAGTGTTTGCCAATAGGAATGGATAGAACACCTTAACAAATTGCACGTTAATACAAAATACTAAAATATGATTCGCTAATTGTTGTGCACATCAGGGCATTTCTATACATTTTTATAATTCATATATTCTCTCCCATGTTAGGCACATAGTTCACACTTTTTCACACTATTTCCATGTAATTCTTGTTTCCATACCAGTTCGCTTAAATATACAGATTATAACGGATTGCATGTGGCTTACCGCTCAGCCAATAAGCGTAGATTCGAATCTTTCAAGTATGACGATTGTAAATGATTAAACCAGTGACGATTCCGAATGCTTATCTAGCGCCATTTGGTGAAGCGGTAAATGTGAAACAGAAGAGCCGCTTAGTGGATGAAAGGGCAGTTATTGTCATCTTCTGTTGCATTAGAACTACCTGCTTATGTTGATTAGTTTGTGTAGTGATCGAATGAACCTAAGTATTCGAGAGCTGCTCGATAACAAAATTGGTACTGATCCTGGAAATAAAATCAGAACAATTACATCGACGTCATTTGTACGGGGTGTTCCTCAATAAATGTACTATACTTTGGAGACCGAGGGTCAACTAATTTTCAGGCCATTTTCTAACAGTATTATTTTAGCAAATAAGTTAGGTTTTCGCGACTATTGCTTGAAACTGGTGAGTATTTTGAGTTTTAAGTCGTTTTTCAAGCACGAATGGATTGCAGAATATTTCAGTTATAGTGTTCAAGCGAAACAGATCTAAACATGCAAGACCCTGGTGCTTGCGAAACGCCAGGAAAATTTTTTCCCCCAAAAAACTTACTAGTAGTTTTCAGGAATTCTTTCAGCAAAAACTGAAATAAATATTCTTTTACAAAACAAATAAAATTATTTCTTCAGTGTAAGCCGGTATGAACTTATATACAATATATAACAATATGGCAATTGTTAGCTTTTGCATGTTTTTTCTTTGAATTTCGATAAAATACATTGATTTTATTTTTTGAACAGACTTTTTAAATTGACTTCAGTGGTTACGGATTTTGAGAAATTTTAATTTTGAACCTCCTAGCTCTCATCAGTTGGGGTTAGACGGAAAATAACACTACCGAAACCTGCACTTTATTTCGTCCATATATTTTACATCGGCATGGAGCTAAAGTGCTCAACCAAATGAACGCCACATAGTTAAATTTTCTCTAAATTTGGAGCTGAACCAATTCTGATTTCCTCAAGCGATTTGATTTGTATTTGAATCGTTCCTTAGCCCCATTTGTTTTACGTTTGTCGATAGTTTGTCAAAAATCAAGTATCTCAGGCAAAATTTCTATAGGGTGGCAAATGGGAAAATTCAAAATTTTGGAATGTTTGGAATGCTGGTAGTTGGACAAAAAATGTTTTTTTTAGGTCCCGACCCCAAAAGTTTGAAGAAGAATTACATAACTCGAAAGGGTTTTTTAATTTTTCGGCTATCGGTTTTATGTACAGGGTTGTCTCAAAAAATAAAATGTTTAGTTTTGCAGCGACTACTTTTCTGCAATGATAACTTGTTCCGAGGTTTGCGATCTAGACCTGATATTGAATCTTAAACTTCAGAGGATGTAAAGCGAAAATTTGCACAACAAATTAACCAAATCAGAATTGCACACGAAATCTGTAATTCTGTCACATTTTCAACTAAGTGAAGGTTTAGGTTCAACATAGTGGCTGCAACGCCAAAAAGTTAACTTTTTAAAGTCCACTCTGGAAATAAACTTAATAAGCGAGCAATTCAAAAACATTTCTTGAAGAAATGAGATCTATTGGTTCATTTTCCACCCTGTAGACACTTTATCTTATCCAATAATTTTTTCTTGCAAAACCGGCCATTAATCGAAAAACAGTTGCACTAAAGCATTCAAACAGAAATCAATTCGCTCTAAGCAGTCAGAAGTTCCCAAGTAAGTTCAAATTTGTCAGTGTAACGTTGATTTTGTTAAGCAGTTAAGTTGATCCGAAGTTGAAAGTATTCTCTAGTCGTTTTTTCCAGATATGAAATTAAAGTTTTGTAGGTCCAAAAGCTTTCCAAAAGTGTGTTCATTTAATTTGCAACCGCTTCCATTAACATTATACATTACAATTTTAATTAGTTTGAAAACAAGCGTCTAAAACTAAATACCAAAATTTAAATGCTTGTAAGTTTTTAAAGATCATTTGCGCAACCCACAAATTTCATCAAGAAAGGGCATTATTTGGAAAACAATAAATGTTTAATTTATTTAACTTATTTAGTTATTTAACTTATTTAATTTATTTTCATTGACTTACCTCAGTCTGTACCATGGCAGGCCTTTGAGTTCTCAATATTCTAGCGGTCTGGAAAACATCAACTACCCCTTCATATTGCATTCTTTCTAGCACTATACTCAACGTAATAAATACACCGGTTCTACCCACGCCAGCACTGAAAAAAAAACAACATTGCATTTTTTGCATCAACTGAAATAAGGCTAAACAATAACCTGTCTGTTACTGTTACACAACTCATGTATGTTATTTTTGTCAATTGATCTCTCTTTCAAGTAATGCAGTAACTTAACGTATTTCTCAGCATCCTGCTGGCGCACGTTTGATACACTACGGTCTTCTGACACGTGGAATAGAATACGCAGCCTTTTTTGGCAATAGCAGAAAAACTTTGGCTGCGTTTTCAATTAGCAATTGCAACAAGCGCTTGGAAGGTTTAGTTTATTGAAACTATATTCCAAGAATTAAATTATTATTTTTTCTTTGTGTTGTTTTGATTTATTTAATATTTGTTTTCAAATAAAATGTGTATATATCGCAAGCGGTTGATTGTTGGCAGATTAGTAGGAGTACTTTGAGTTTTTCCTGGGAAAATTGTGGGAAATAACAAAACGGATGTTTCTATGAACGCATTTAAGAGCTAAGCTACTTAGACCAAGCAATAAAGGGATTGTCCTTGACATAAATCCTATCGGAAAACCACCTACGCCATCACGTGTAGGGCAGTCCGTGCTTTATTCCCAGTATGGTTTGGACAAAAAATGTCATTTGTTATTTTTATAAACAATTTTCAACAAAAAATCGCATTTTTTATTTTATCGCTTGTAAAATCGAAACAATTGAAGCACTCTTAATTAAAAAACTCAAAACTTATAATTTGCATTAAATTATTTCAGCATCTACTGCAGCAATTTCACTTATTTTTTTTATTCTGGGGTACACGAACATGAGGAAATGAGACAATAGATTTTTGACTCAGATTTCACAAACGATGGTAGAATACGCAGGTAATTTGCAATCAACTGTTGTTGAATTGAATGCATGCCACGCTGTATATTCGATTTCCTTGGATTTAACATAAGATAAGATAGAAACTACTCACACGCAAAGGATATAAACTTTACCTGCAATGGACAGTGATAGGCCCGTCTTGTCCGAACTGTTCTTTAGTCTTGTGGACTTGGCCGATAAAATCAATAAATCCTTCTCCAGATTTTGGCACTCCCTGTTCCGGCCAGTCGGTAAACTGGAATTGGCGCATTGTCCTGGACGATCCGTCCCGGGCATCAGTCACCTTGAATTCGCGTAGAATGTACTGAGGCATGTTGTATTCGGCTATCGGATCCACCACGTAACATCCATAACGGACTGATCGATCGCTTGGCCAGTACTGATGGCACTTTTCCTGGAATGAATAATGGGAAATATTATTGTTTTGGTGTTAAGAAGCAGATGGCAATAGATGTACATAGGGAGATGTTTTGGATTAGAAATTACTTGCGGATGCGGTTTCTCAGAAAAATAATGCATTATCTGCTATCGGATGTTGGCTGACATAATTTCGATTGTAAAATTCAAGATTTCATCCAGCGGTTGATGAAAATCTAAATAAAATTGCGTTCTAAGACATTTTCAATGCCCGGAAGCCCCAATATTTGCAAAAGGAAATTATCATGCAAAATTAACAAGTATTATCTATTTAAATAATCTTAAATAATAATGATGTTTGAATCGTTTTCGGGAGGCTACCACGCGCACGTGAATAATAATCGAAACAAATATAAAATAATAAATTCTTTTCAAATATAATAGTAAAAATATGCACTTACTCTTCCCATTTCTTTCAACTTCGTCAACATGACGATTATTGTAGAGTTATGCTCCCAAAGCATGCGCCAAAGATCATCAGTGGTGTCGGGCAGTGGTCCTTGAGTGGCAATGTAGGCCTTGCGGTACCGATAACCATCAATAAAACTGCCATTTATATAGTCCGAACCATCGATGTTCCTAATTGGTTGTAGACAGACACGCGTACTCTCGTATGGTAGGATATGTACTAATCTGAAAAAGAAAGATATCAGTTCACTTACCCAAGTTTTGGATTCAAAGACAACCAGTCGTATTAGTTTTTAATAACAACTATCCAACTTACCTATTTTTGTGCTTATTGCAAGGTAAATTTGCAGTAACAAAACGTGAAGAATCAGTCTTAATGTTTCCTAGCTTCTTAAATTCGTGTTCCATTCCGGTGATGTTCTCGCCCGGCTCTAGTTGCATCAGTTTCTGAATGTGTGGATGTAGATTCCGTGCTGGGACTTCAGTAGCTCCGCAAATATATGCCTTAAGCAAGAAAAAAATGTATTTCACTCTTTTCACAAACGGACAGAGAAGTGACTTCATTTGGAAGTACAGGTGTTGGAAAAGTAACAATCGAGTGCTCGTTACTCGAGAAGGATCGAAGTAAATAACGTTATGTGGAAAACGAGTAATTACTTGGATTCCTTTAACTGTGCGTACCAATTTTGTGGATGCTACAGCGAACTTACGTTGAGTAGATACTTTGAAGGTATTTGACCATTTGAACTATTTGGTGATCGGTTTTATTGAGCGCGTGATATAAACTCCGATTCAAAATGTAGAAACCATTTCATAAAACTCACAAATTAACGATTATGAACTTTTAAATTATTTTATATTGATTAACGATTAATAGCAAATACTCTGAATTAACGACAATCAGCACTTCTTTTCGGTAAAGAACATTCCAAATGTTCGTAATTTTTTTTCGCGATGGACAATATCCGTAACACTTATAGGCGTCCAAAGCAAATAGAATTATGGTGGGATACTCATGCCTTAATGCACATAGTTCTGAGAGCATTTTTAAGATATGAAGATGAAAGTAAAACAACTAGTATTCTAGTCAAACCTCCATGTTTAATAATAAACGTTTCAATCGCACTAAACACTAGGAACATGTTTAAACAGATACAATGTTTTTTCATCCGATTCCGGCTGAAAACTACTGGAACAATAATATATAGAACGACTGTCTTCCACTAATTGGAATTCATCAGATTTCCCTACCAGCCAAAAATGGAGAAGCAAAAATAGGATAACGAGAATATTTCGAACGACTCATAATTTGCGAACGGTTGAAAATATCAGACGATCCATTTCAACGGTGTTCAGTTTTCTTTTTGCCTTTTGATGTCAAGCAACAATTTTAACTTGCGAATGAATAGAGCGATAATTGAGGAATTCTTGAACCTTTTCGTTTATGCCTTCCACGGTTAAAAATATCGGGATAACCAATAACACTTTTTTGTTAGAACGTTTCGACGAGAATCTTCACCTAATTAGGCTTTGCTTAAGATTCCTTGTCGTTTCAAAGTCAGAATCGAAAATGCTTTATTGTCTAGAAGATATTTAGAAAACGGTGTAAAATATTTGAAAGGGACATTTTGATAGTATTATCAGAACTATCTGCGTGAAAAATGTTCAAACATCAGTTGTATGTTGTACATTTTTCTTCAAATACCACAAACCGCAAATTGAACTGAAAATTTACGAATAATACGTGGATCTTTTGCGACAGAAGAGCAATTTTTCTTAATTAGGTTTAACAGACATTTTTTAACTTTTCAGAAGTATGCAAAAAAAGCTCTAGTTTTCAGAGCATTTCGAGGTTTAGGAGTGGAACCATAGAACCAACTGGGTTTCATCAGGCCCTTCACACTTACACGAACAATGATTAAACCTAACTTCATCGTAACTGTTACTAAAAAAAAACATCGATTATTTACCTCCAGAAGTGAATCGTGAATGAAAATGTACTGATCCTCGGTTTGAACCATGTAGTTCCTCTGAGCACGAAGGCAGGTAACATGACCATAAATATCCACCGTCTTCTCATGCCGCATCCTTTCCAGCATTGAGTCAATAACAATAAAGCACCCTGAAAAATATTGTTGGTCAAATCAACTGTCTTCTTTGCTCCGGTTATCGAGTTTTCCTACCGGTCCTTCCAACACCGGCAGAACAATGGACAATTATCGGTCCAGCTTCAGGCGGGTTTAGACTACGCACTCGTCTCAAGAATTGCAAAAATGGAGCTGGATGGTCAGGCACTCCATGATCCGGCCATGCAGTAAACTGCAGCTGTTTTATTTCTCTACTCTCCTCAAAATCTTTCTGAATTTGGAAGGTTCGAATGCAGTAAGTTGCCAGTTCTTGAACATCCGAAATCACCACAGACATCGGGCCGTACACTTCCGTTCCTCGGGAAGGCCAGTATTGGTCGCATTTAATTCTCGTTCTTTCTTCAAGCTTGGTCATCATTACAATGGTGGCCGCTTTCAGCTCCCAGCACATTCTCCAAAAATCGCCGAAAGTTTCAGGCAATGGTCCCTGAGTAGCAACGTAAGCGTTGTGCTTTCGGTAACCGTCGCAATAGTTGGCGTTGATGTAATCTGAACCTCTTCGGCCGTCTTCCAAGGGCAATATAACGCGACTGTGATCATACGAAATTACATTTGCATACCTGGAATAATAAAACCATTTTGAAAATTTGCTGTTTGATGGGGTTCTCCAAAGTTGGCCCACGAACTTTTTATCACTTTTAATGGGCTACTTGAATCGCTAATAATTTGCATTTGTCTGCATAAACACCTCTTGAAATATCCACAATGGAAATCGATTTTGGAAATTACTAATAGCATTTGACTAAAAACTTCTCATTGGCTAGAGCTAGAAAATTACAGCATATTACGGCCATATTTCTTTATGGTATTCTTGTGTTCTTGTTCGCATAAATTCGGATTCAAAAAGGGATCAGTTTATAAATTATTTCACAACTTTGGGGAATAAGTATCTCCATCAAATTTAATGGAGCTGTTTCGGTCGTGTTTTATTTATTTAGAATTCTGATTGAGTAGAGGATCTTCAAATAGATTTTCAATTGCACCTACCTATTCTTTGGCTTATTAACGTCCATATTGGAAAACTCCCAGGTAAACGTCTGTCCTGGTTCGATGCTCTCATATTCTTGTGAGAATTTTAGATTGTCATTCGCTTTAAGTCTTTCAATGTGATTAGCCAGTTCCGAAACTGGAATGGGAGGATGTGATATCATGGCAGGAGTTTGGAAGTTCAAGCGTCTTTGCTCCACCGGATCGCTCGGAGCAATGCTGCTGTTCAAATCCGCCGGTATTAAGGGTTTGGTAACGGCAGCTTGATCGGGCGTTTTACACGGCTGTCGTCTTCTTCGCAGTAAGAATAAAAACACCAAAATCGAGCACAGCAGAACTGCAGCAATCACGGGCCCGATAACCCACAAGTAGGTGGCTTCTTTTCGTTGGGAGCTTACTTTGACGTCGGTGTCTGTAGGAACGTTTGGATTGGGGCGCGTTGGCACCTCACCTGGAGGAGGGGCTCGCATGTCCAAAGAGAGGAACTCCGAAAAGGGGCTACTAGTGTAGAGGTGCTTTTGTGGAGTATCGACCACCTACATAAAGGGAATTTTACGTTAATTTAACAAATAATTTCTTTTAAAACTTGAAGGTGCATAAACTGGGAAAATCGACGGAAGCAAAAACATTTTCGGGCCATTGGCTCAAAAATTGTACAAAATAAACGATCTTGATACGAAATTGAATTACAGCTTTTTATATAAATGTTGAATGCAATTTATTTCAGCTCCTTGATTAGTGTCCGTAAATTTGTCCATTTTCTTAATATTGGCTGCACAATCCAAAACCATCATAAAATAAAGAACCTGCTCGTACTAAATGTGCACAAAAGCTTATGAAAATAATGCTACTACCAATGAGTGAATTACCGGGATCAAAAGCGGAGCCATTAAAGTCTCGTCAAGCAAAAAAATTATCCAATAAATTGTATAACTGCGAATTATGTCATGTCACACCAGTTATGTTTAGCTCGATCCAGCGAAAATGTGGATGTAAACTGTTGTCTAAATGGTTTAATTTCGAAACAGATTTGCACTTAAAAAAATATTGGAAAAGCACGATCTTTTAATTTTAACATTAACTTTAACGCCCCGAAGTTGTTCACTGAAGCCGAATTATATAAAATTGTCATAATTTGTCTTCATTCCAGTAATCCGTGGTGGAAATTTGTTTGTAACTGAATTTTATCTAATATTAATTCGATTCGAAAATATCGTGAATATGCAAACAAGGCTGCAGGGCCAAAGGAGCGTAAGTGTAAATGGAACAGAGATAAAATTTGAAAAACATGGAAACGCAAAAAATTAACGCTTATCGCAGCATTTTAACTAACTGGAAATCCAGTGATGTTTTTCCTAAGTAACCATGTTAAAAAGTGTCTGCGTCAGCAACATTCAGTAACAGTTAATATTAGTCTACTATTCGAAAAATGTACAGGCTGTTTTCTCAGTGATTGGCACCGGCCCTGAAGAGTTGATTTCAAATTCTGTTATTACTAATTAAAATCTTAAAAAAGTTAAAATTAAAACACGTTCATTTACTGAAGTATTTTTTGTAATGGAACACTACACATTTTTTTTGCTCCTGATTTCAGAAATACGTATATTGCCCATATTTCTTTTAGTAATTTTATTAATACTGCGTTTTAAATATTATAAATAGCAACAGTTCAAAGTAGAGTTGAAATCGAAAAATTTGTTACAACAACAGCAAACATGTCGTACTCTTACCTTGAACAATGCGATATTCTGCGTATATTCTACCAAAACAAAGAAAATGGATCGGCCGCGTTAAAAGAATATAATGCGTTCTTTTCCCCAAGACCGTTCTGTTTCGTCTCAAAACACATTTAAGAATGTAGAAACACGATTTTGCGAACGGAAAACTATTAGAAGTTCAAAGGAAAAAGAACACTTGTTAATGAAGATGAATACTTCATTATCTTATCCACCACACGTTCGCCCGGTAGCACTTGTTTTAAATTAAAATATTAAGTATGGATGAACTGATCTTATCCTATGGCCTCCTAACAGCCCCGAATCAACGCCTCTTGTTTCGTTTCTCTGGAGTTAATTAAATAATATTGTTTTCGAAAGTCTAGGTACTATTACAGGTTGTACATAAAAAATATTTTTCAAATTCCTGAAATCAGCAACATATAATATTGTACAGTCTGAGTAATAATAAACAACTTTTGCATTTACCTAATTGCACTATTTCTTGAAATAAATGATCTAGGGATGGTGTCAACTTGTGAGGAAACACCCTGTACATAATTGCTAAATATCGTCCTATTAATAGCTTATACGCCTTTTCTTTCACTCTCCGGCGACTAAGAAGTAGGTACTTAAGTATACTGAATTTCTTGAAGCTTAAACTTTACCTAGTTTCACTTACCGCTCTAATAAATATCCTGTATCTCTTGTCCGGTTTCAGTTTAAAATTGGTAAGGCCCTCTTTTGCCTCGCCTGTTCCCAAATGAAACGTATATGGAATACTCCTTTGGGGAAATTTGGCAGCGACATAAGGTAGGGTGGGATCTTCAGCCACGTCCTTAACATTGCTCAACAGATCCTCTGTTAGAAATTGATCGGGATTCTTGTGTATCGTCGACTTGTCTTCGGGAACCACGATTAAATAGTAGTGACTAATCGGACCATATTCCTCCGAGGCTTGTGGCAAAATGACATGGATTTCTGTCTTAACGACTCCATAAAAGTCTGGCTTCACCATGGGTTGTGGTGCGGCCATTTGGGTGGTTACAGTGATTTTGGTTGGTGGACGGTACGACTCGTCGCTGGGAATTGCACTCACGTTCACGTTGTATGTGGTGAAAGGCGACAAGTCGTTTATGGTGTAAGACTTGACTTCGTCACGTAGAACTATTTCCACTCGAGGTATGTTTTGTGTCTGCGTGATACCCTGTGAATCCACAAACTCTTTGATGGCATCGAAGGAGATTTTATACTGACTGGGGTTCAATCGAATGGGTGGAGCCCATGATAAGGTCATGGAATGTGTTGTAACCTCATGGGCTCTCAAGTTGAGTGGCACATCTTCCGGTTTCACTTTCACCAAATCCTTTTCCGATAGTCGTCCCAAGCCGGCTTCGGTTCGAGCAGCTACTGCTATGGCATATTGAGCATACTTTTCCAAGTTTACTAAATCAGCAGAATTGGTCAAACCCACGGACTTTTGCTGCCATGCATCCAAATCCTCCACAGCGGTCATCGTATAAAAAATTTGATACCCAATAACGGGCTTCCGTGATGGCACTGTTTCCCACCAGACTTCTACGCTCGATTCTGAAGTGGCCACCGCTTTCACTGCCATGGGTGCTCTTCCGATATCTTTCTCTGTTTGAATTGTTTGCTTCTCGCTGTTAGGCCCCGGTCCTAGATTGGTGTAGGCCTTGATATGGAAAACGTACTCAGTGTTCTCTTCCAAGTTCGTGAATACTGCCTTAGTTTTGGTCACATTTCGAAAGATCACGTTATTATGGTCAGACTTCTTGTGAAACTCGATGTCGTATTTGATGATTTGACCATTGCGGTGTTCTCGAGTAGGCGGATCCCAAGTCACACACACGACGTCGGGCGTTTGAAATCGACAGGTAATATTTGTCGGAGGTCCAGTGGGCGGGCCTTCGGGTGTTTTAATGTATTTGATTGCTTCCTGGCCTGTGCCGATGTGATTCACACCGGCCACACGAAATTCGTACTCCACACCACGCTCTAGGTCGTTAATGCGATGATTTAAAACAGAAGCTGCAAACGAAATAAATTTCCAGTTCAATATAATATACCAAGCCTGAGTTAGCCGTACAAGGTGTCGAAACTTTATGCTTAACTGGTATTACTTGTTCCAAAATGTTTATCTTCATATTGTAAAGGTACTAAACACGCACAAGTATTTTAAAAATATTCACAATACAACCTGTATACATATGCAGGGGCGGATCCAGCTTTAAATTCA